AAAATCACTTCTCTGTAACAGAAAAAGAAGAAGCAAGAATAATCAGTTAACGCGTAAAGATTTGCGCGCGAGATTCTGACGCGTGGTAGAGATAATGGAGGAGTGCTTCAGACGTATTTCACGTTGTAAAATAAAACAGTCTGGATGTCGGCGCTGATGTTTTATATAAAACACCCTCTGAATACTGCGCGACGACTACGGTACGTTGGCAGGATATAAAGAGAGAGATTAACATTTAACGACTTTGTCAGTCCGCCACCAACTATAGAACGAGGTGCACATGACAGTATTGTCATGTCGTAAGTTGTGAAATTCAGTGCAACGGATCGTAATTCATGCGACCGTAAACGTTCTTTATTACACTGACATTCGGTGGCGAGAGATAAACGTATGACGGAAGGAAGTCGAACACGTGGTGCGTAACGAGACGTTACTAGTATGTTCGTAATGGATAAATGTTTAATCGATAATTCCACGCGAGCTAAATATTTCGGAGGAATACAATTTTGCGAAATATTGTAAAAAATACTAAAGCAAATTTCACTAGAGATATTCTATAATTTTTACCTAAGTTAGTCTTCTCTAATCATTTTCATATCGTAAAAGAAATTCAGATCTGTCGCGCTTTTTAATTCAATTAGCATATATAGTATTCAATAATAACAAAACAACTCTTGTAAAAAAAAGGGTTATATAGGAGTAAGAGAACCAGAGGTGAAAAGAAATTTTAAAACGCTTTTTTTTCTTTTTTCTTTCGCTAAAATAAGCTCTTGTTTGTTTCTACAAACACAACATTAAAATTAAAAGGTTTAAAATGTCTACTATTATTGTGGTAGCTATTATTGTATAATGAACAGAGATAAATACGTGGCGAGGCCGGATCGTCGCGAAATCTCGGTACTGAATAGCGTAGTTATTCACACATAAATTAGGCGCGTGAAATGAATACCAACGGCGCGTTTAATTAAATTTGTGTCGTGATATATGCGCCAGTTATTACAAATCGTCTCTGCAAGGGGGGGGGCAACAACGTGCCTCAAATAAATTCATGTATCTAATATATCTTTCTTCCGTTTTGCGATATTTTCTTAACGGAAAAATACACGGAAAAAGAGTGCACGATACTATTGCAGCTCGTGTACGTTCACATTTTCTTCCGAAATGTTTGAGTAAACTTTATAATTCGATAAATCAGCAGTCGTAACGAACTCTCCTTCGTAAAGGAAGGAAAACAGCTCATTACTTCCATGCTTTAACTTAATAACAGACTTTGCTCTTTATAATTAGGCGGACGCAAAGCAGGAGCTACTCTTTTCTCGCAGGGTTATGTATGCAGAGAGGATATAAGTTTCTCGATAGACTGAAGTTGTACTGGCAATCCTCGGGAGAGCAAAAAGTGCTAACGACCCCCCGTGCTTTCAAAGTACCAAGTTTTAAATCTATTTCAGAGAAGTTGTTAGTAATTGTCAATACGTGACGTTTCCTTTCCTAGCCATTTAATCCGCGTATTGTCGCGAATTTTATTTAAATAACTGCTTAGAAGCAGCACTTAACGTTAACCAAGAAAGTGTAAGATTAAAATTAAAATTACTCACCGCCCAGATCCGCAAAGAAGATTTCGCGAAGGGCTAGAAATTCTTCCTCGGGAAGCATGTCCGCTTTTCCGAAGCAGTCATTTTCGGGCCAGATTTCTCTGTAACATAATTTTATCCAATCATTTTCGATAAGACATCCGTGTAAAACATAATGTTATTAATATTAAAATAGGAGAAGCCTAGCAACAACAGCTTAATAGCATGGTAACGTTATGCCAGCAGTTTACCAGTTCTGATATACAGTAATGCAACATATTCCTGTATATATATATATATATAGTTTACTGCACAAACTTCATATTTCATAAGACTGCAAGGTTCAATGTATTACATCCTGAATATTATATTATTTATGGTTGATCCTTTGTCGTAGATTACGCGAGATAAAAAACTGACTATCATATATTACATTCAAAAAGAATTACTTTGTGATTTTAAAAAAGTATCAATTTTTAAAAAATAAAATCGCATATTTCAACTCAGAGTTTAAAATCAAGAGTTTTTCGCTTATAAAAAAAAAAAAAAAAAAAAATAACCAAATATTATAATACTTCTCTCTTTTCCAAAAACGCGATATCATCAACGATCTTGATATTAAAATCGTGCGAAAATTTTCTAATCATACAAATAATAAGTACGCATACGAACTAATGATCATTCAATGCATCAATCAAATCGACGAAATCAAATAAAGCGGGCTCATTATCTCGAATTGCACGACTGGGGAAGATTCGGTAGAGCGCGGTGCAACGAAGGAGCGACACGATGAGAAGTCCGAGTGGCAAACTCAATGAGTCTCGTGGAAGGTTCCTTTGAGCATGAGAGCCTCACCACGATCTACACCAACATCGGACTCCTTGCGTCAAGTGCTCACACCCAACCCTCATTCTTCGTCGACCCACCCTACGCTATCGTTGATACTGACACACATGCATCTCCTTTACAAAGTATCTGTGTATCTTAGGTATCTCCACAAAGTGCCACCGCCACTGTCGGACGAAGAAATAAGGAAGAGACGACGTGAGAGGGAAGAAAGATTTTCGAAGATGAGAATAGCAAAGAAGGAAGGCTCCAATCTACATATTTATGTTATGTCAAATTTATCACGAAGCACGTCCGCGATTCAGAATCGTTTTTACAAAATTCAGGAGCTACGAGATTTGTAAAATTAAGTTACGACATCAATTTTAAAAAAGAAAATGCATCACGTAATTTATCACGTTATTAATTTTAGTTTTATATGAAAGATTTTCTTGATCTCAGCCTGTAATATTGTTTTAATCCTTATTTCAGAGTTTTTCATAACTTACAGGCTATTGATCTGTCAACATTTTTGTTGAAAAAAATTTTACATCCAAGATAGATGAAAGCTGGCTTAGTTGGGTCTGAAATATCTATATACTTTATGAGCATTCAGAAAAAAAAAGAGAACAGATGGTCGTGTGCGGACGTGACTAGGAAACAAAGGTAAAGTCACGTCTTCAGGAACGCCCTGAAGAAAGGTGTAGCTAATGGTGAAACACTTTTAACCTTACATTACATGACGGGATGTCTCTCAAACTTCATCTGTTTTGAATATTTACTAAAGATTTCTATGATATTATTTTTTTATTGTATATAAAGAAACAGAGAGCAAAAAATTGTCTCATGGGAAAAACGTTGCCATCTAACTTTAGATTTATTTTTTTAAATGAAATTTTATTTTAATAATTGAGGATAATAATTTTCTCTTACAAACTTCAGTATCTAAAGTTAAAAATGTTCAATACATTTTTATCAATTATTTCCGTAAATGTTTTATTATTAACAAATAAAAAAATATATTATTAAGATTTTGGCAGTAGAGATTATTTAATTTCAGATTTTAATTAGATATTAAATCATATATAATTATGTTTTGAAATTTTTCTACTTGTTATATTTCATGTTGTTCGTCTATTCATAAAAATAACTTTTAATCCAACAGCTATAAAAATATATATATATATATATACATAGAGAAAATTACAATAGCAAAAAATTCTGATTTTTATGAAAAATTCTGCACAATATTATATTCATGTAATATTTAAATCGTGAAGAAACAAAGAGTTACAAAATGTAAAAAATACAATAAGAATTATAATATTATGATGATGGACTTCTTTACCAATACTTTTTCTAGGTAATCACAGCTTTCAGCCGTAAAAATAACAATGACGATAAAAATCTTTTCTTCTTCCCTTCATTGTCGGAGCACCGGGCGATTGATAATGAAAATCGTTTCTACTTTACTCCGTCCTAATAGCGCTGGAGTCGCATTAAAATCCGGAGAATTGGATTTGGTCACTTGACATGAAATCGCACTTAGTTGCAATTGTACTATATAAAAGCGAAGCGTATGAACCGGTTCTAACGCGGGGTACGAGCACGTGGAACGTGTTTCATTTTATGCGTATACACGCGACACATATCCGTATGTTCTACAATATACGGACTCTGGTTGAAATCAAGTCCGGACATGATCCGTCCGCGTTTTACACGCGGGCAGAGACGTAATCCATACAGTATACGTTAGATGAGTCGCAGGTATATAAAACGTTAAAAACCAAGTTGAAATCTGGGGCAAGAACTGTTATAAAATGTCGAGCGCAGCTACAATTTTTTTTTTTTTTTCCATCGCTTTCGCAAATGTATCACTAAATTAAACTAAGTTTGTGCGTGCATTGTAACAATTGAAACTTCTTGATCTTTGGCTAAATAATACATCTATTTTTAAATTAAAAATTAGCTTTCCTATTATCAGTCCACGTTGTCAGTCAAAAACTTAATTTGTAAAAAAATATAATTTTTATCTCGATATTTTTATCTCGCTATTTTTATAATTACTAATTTAAATAAGAAATCCGGTTTTATCCCGTTTCATATACGCTGGTCGCGATTCACTGGTTGCAGAACGCATTTCATCAGGTTCGTGGGTCAGGAGAGTCTGGTCCACTTTCGAAAGCTTTCCGAAATTCTCTTCGTTGGAGATGAATCCAATAAGCCGACGCAAGGGAGAGAACGCAAAAGAAGAGGAAGGGTGCTGTCCCCGAAGCGGAAGAAGTGGCTCGTACGACGCTGCTGCTGGCTGCTGGCTGCCTGAATAGAAATTCAGCAGCATACAATCCCCATTATCCCTCGATTTGAAGTTCCGCGACAATGGAATCTCTCAGACGCACCGCCGCCGCCGCCGCCGCCGCCGCCGCCGTCGTCGTCGTCGTCGTCCTCCTCCGACTCAGCGTTCCGACATACAAGCCGATACCGCTTTGCCAGACATGAAATAGATAATTCCGACACGTCCATTTTCATGCTTGGCAAAGACTCAAAATGATGAATCAGCCTTCGGACTTGGATATTAAATTGTCACAAAAAGTTGTTAAACGTATTTACATTATCATACTTGTTGCAACTTTCGGAATTGTAGGATTTTTCATCTCTCTCTCTCTCTCTCTCTCTCTTCCTATTATTCTCCTAGTTATAGCGCAAAGAGATAAAGTTATTTTAGAAATAATCTTCCAATGTTCCTGAATAAACTAAATTTTGCTTCTGTGTGTTAATCACGAATTGCGATATCCCAAAATAAATAGAGAAGCAAAAGGAAATCTCAAACTAGTGCTTCGCAAACGATAAAATCATAGTCGCACCGCGATTATTCGGAGAGAAAGAGAAGACAATAATAAATCAACGCAGTTTTTTTTTTTTTTTCGTCGTAATCATCTTGCACTTTAAATTACGCAATTCTTAAGTTAAAATCACTGTACTGGTAAGAGGGTCGCAGATGGCGCAAGTGGAAAATTAGGGGGGCTAAAACCGGTGGCCAGACGACGGAGTATTTGCTAGGCAAACGAAACACGATTACCAGAAGCACTATCCGTAACCGAGAAACGAAGACGTGTACGCGAAGAGAATAGGGGTATTACATTGTTTGTCTTACGTACCTACGTATTACCGTAAATGCCTTATTAACAATATTGTCCGCGCCTAGGTGCAGTCTATATACGGTGTAGTCAACAGTCTGCTACTTTTATCCCCCCTTGTGTGCACAGGGTCGCGGTATGGTCCTGCAGACTTCCATTGTGTACTGGCCATAGTAAATATTACCCCCATAAAATGGACGATGGAATATTACGTACAATCTCCGAAAGTAGTTCGCGGCGATGATATCGCGTAAAAAAAAAAAAAAAATATCGCGGAAGGGACTATAATTTCATAGCTTTATGATAGAAGGAGACAACCGACGGTAAAACCGAGTTTTATCCCTGCGGTTATATCACGGGGCACTCCAATCTGAAATAGAACTAATAAAGTTAAAGATTAATGGGCACAGCGTTTCGTATCCGATTGCCCTTAGTCGACCCGTTTTAATGCAACGGCGTTACCCTTAAATATCATCGACAAGATAATTTTAAATTGTGAAATTCAGATACGAAAAATAACTTAAGACGACACAGATCTGCGTACACATTTATGTTTGGCGTGCAAAAGCGAAAAAGCTTTGAGACAAGCCGCGTAAAGAATCTATTTACACATCGACGGAGTTTATCAACAGGGGGGGGAGAGGGGGGGGGTTGATATCGAATCTCGCGGAAAGCATCAAGGCGACGATTAAGCCTTGGAGCGAGAAAGGTTGACGAAGTGGAATGCAGAAACAAGTTGACGGAGGGACATGACTCGTAGGCACATTTAGAGGTGGAACACTTCAAAGAGTTGGTTGGGTACCGGGTTCACCTCGGTGAACCGATGTATACCGACGCGTTACAAGAGCGCGGCAGATCCCTTTCAGATTTAATGTAATGTAAATATCCGCGGCAGTGCAAACGCCTGGCTTTTCGCCAGTTAATTGGCCGTATGACTGGTCGATGCACAAAGCCGAAAAAAATCTCAAACAGCTCAATAAGCGTAATTAATATATTACAGAAATTACGATCAAACTTAACGAAAAATGATCGCAAAATGATAATAAGTTTTCCATTAACAGTTTTGAAGATTTCCTAATTTTTTTAAATAACATAATAATAAAAATGAAAAATCATGAATTTTGTCTGATATGTATGTTACAACTTTGTTGCACGATTAGAAATGACATGAGAATTTATATTTTTATACACGTTATTTTATTATTTTTATTTATATTACTTTGTGTACCGAATGCGTTTCAACTTAAAATATAAAAAAATCATCGAATTTGAGAGAATAAATTCTAAACTTACCAGTCTTCTACCCCTAATATAATAAACGCTTTGTTTGAGAAAACAAAGCCCACACAATTCCCGTAATTAATTGACTTATCTCAAAATATTAAAAAACCATAAAAATATATAAGAGAAAATTGTCTAATGCATATCGATCATCTAAATTAGATTTTAATTTCGTTCATATCATTGAATATAAATGGTAATCTAATGATAACAAAACATATAAGAAATAATGCTACACTTTCCAATATAAATTAATATCAAATAAAAAATATAAATGGCAAAATATGCATACTGCAGCATAACTCTCTTCTGTATTGCAAATGTTTATAAAAAAATAAAAGGATAGAAATATATTTAATTTAATTAAGCATATTTAAAGATACCGTGAATTAAAAGTTAAATACTGCGAAATGAAACTCTAAGTCAATATATAAAAATAAAAAGATCTTCTATCACGATTGAGCTAACTTTTATGAAAATTTATATGTTAATCGTATATTAAATTATTACGTTACAAGCGAGAAATTATACGTAATTTTTATTACAGGTAATAATCTCTCGCATATTTCAGCTAAATAAAGTAACAGGAAAGTTAGAACAGTTCACTCGTCGTAATGCATAACGACGGTTTAGGTGCAAAACTGATTCTCAAAATAAACAACAATGAACAACATTGCCATCGTTCCAGCACGATGAGTTTCATGGCAACAAGTTACTTCCCTGGAATCGCTTCTCAAAATAAACAAATCCCTTACCTTGCTGCACGTAGGAGGCCGAGTGCCTGTTCCAAGTTTCTCTGTCGCATTAATTTCTGGATTCTCTTCATGGCGTCCGCTCTACGAATCAGAAAAAGAAAGAAAAAAACTACTTTAACAAAAATAACGTACTCTAGTCAATCATCATAATGTTGACACATACTTTTGATCGTCGATAGGTGTATCTAAGGTTGCACCAAATGGCATCACTACAGGTATAACGGCATCGCGCATAACAGCAGATAATTCAGGACCAATAATGTCCCAACGTTCTTCCAAGGTAGGAGCCGTAGTTACATTTTCCTTGGTAGATTCTGCTTAAAAAAAATTGAATTGATTTTGTGCATGTCGAATTTAATTTTATATTGAACTCTGTAACACAAACAAAATCTCACTTTTTCCTTTCTTAGCCTTTCTTCTCTTTGGCTTTATTTTACAAACTATGAGATGTCGTTGGCCTTTCTGACAGAAATGTTCCAGCATTTTTAAAAATATGTGAGCAGTCGTTATAAGATCTCTTAAGTACTGCCTGTAAGATTTTACATAGTTATACTATTTTAGGATGACGATAAACTTAAACTACCTTCCTTCCTTTCTTGCGACAAGAAATTAATTCAATCCCGCTACTCGCGCATTAATTCGTCAATTTAGTTCTGGCAACGCGCGCTATTGCCATCAAAGCCAAAGTTTGACGGAACCGTCGTCCTGTTTTCGTCAGCGTCCCCGTAACGTCAAAGTAGCAACGTGGCATTGCGGTACGTCGCGCCGTCCTTACATTTCCGTCGTGGAAATCCGCGCAAAACCCGTCAAACTCGTAGCAAGTTGAACGCCCACCGCCTTTTCCCATTTCGCCGGCCGGAAGGTCGATAAAAGTTGTTTATTCCGCCGCGGAATCGTAGAAGGGAGGAAAAAAGCGGGTGGGTGCGAGCTAGCGAGACCAGCCGCCGAAGAAGAGAAATAGTCGAAAAGGAACGGCGTCGGAGGGAGTCGGAGTGGCTTCCTGGCTGGTCGAACCGATTGATCCGAAAGTGAATCAATCTGTCTGCGGTAGATAAAACTTTTGGTAAAGAGCTCCCTCTCCCTCTCTCTCTCTCTCTCTCTACTCTCTCTCTCTCTCTCTCTCTCTCTCTCTCCTCCTCCTCCTCCTCTCTCTCTCTCTCTCTCTCTCTCTCTCTCTCTCTTCCTCCTCCCCTGCTTCCCTCCCTCCCTCCCCTTCTCCTCTCTCTACGACGTGGATTTATACGGTACATACGCGAATTGTTTAGCGTAGAATGACGTCGTTTAACTTTGCGATACCTGCATTACATCACTACAACTTATTAAAAATTCGCGAATTAAAGAGGAAGAACTGATGATGATGATGAAAAGAATAAAAAGTGCAGAGATTTAAGAAATAAAGAACACGAGATCTTGCTTTGATAATTTCTGTTAATCGTTTCGTTCAAAAATTTTTAAACTCTCTTTTTTAGATGTAAGTGATCAAGATAATAAAATTACACGATTTGTTCTGTACGGTGGTATAATAATTATAATGATGGAATCTATTCACTCACCGTGACATTTTAACCTCGTCGAAGCACAAAAGCTGAGAGAATATCGTTTCCCGATATTCCGGGACGTAAAAGATATTGCTTTTAATTATCTTGCAGGATTCCCTAACACCATCATCTTTACTCTTATCCATTGCCATAAGAGTGTTAAGAAGCTCCTAAAACACATGATATTTCTGTATCCTCTTGAAACACTCGCATACAATGCAATCATGTTGTATTATCATACAATTTTCTACCTGATATGCTTTCAATGCCAAATGTAATCTACGAGACCAAAGCGGTATCCTTTTTTTATCGGTTATTATCATTTCATAATATTGTTCCATTTGTCTTTGCACTAAATAAAATACTTCTGTGGATATAGTTTCGCTAGATAACATAAAACACATTTTGATTTATATAATTCATAATATAAAATATTAAATGTTGACTTCGTACAAAAAGTGTATAAAATGGAAATAAAATATTTTACGTATTATTCGCAATTCGTAAAAAAGAATCGGTAATAGGTAAACAATCTGTCAGTAAAATTTGATCCAACAAAAGTGGAGTATCGTATGCATTGGCGCGTAGCGCGGATAATAAATCGTAAACAAGATTCAAAGCATTTAATATACTTTGTTTAAATGAGAAATATATAGATAGATCGTTTGGTTAAATAATTTAGAATAAATTTGAATAAATTTTTCTGAACGAAAAAAAAAAAAATTAAAAATTAATAATTATAAACTGCTTATTGTGTCGCAAAGTTAATATAAATGTTTTAATAAATCTTATAGTGACCATTTAATAATTTCTGTAGAAGTTATTCCATAACGCAAAGTTAGATGATTCGGTCTGTACACGCGGACGCTGGAGAATTTTCTCTCCAGACAAGATTCGAAAGAAAGCGACGAGGCGTAAAATGAGTTCGTAAACTGTCTCGCTTTCTGCCTCTTTAGAGATATGCGACAATGCAGACTGCGTTATGAGGAAGTTGAAGCTTCGAAGATTTACCTCACATATTTTACTTGAAACTTGTAATGTCGATTGAACTCCATGAAGAAACGTAGGACCCAAAGATAGACGGCTGTTTCTAGCGCTTGACTGTGAGTGTCGTTCATGATACATGATCTAGCGAATCTCATTACAGGATTGTAAGCCGCGCTTAAAAACTCTACGCAGAACTCTTTTAAAAAGAGTCGCACGCTGAGCGCAGATGTGCGTTCTTCCTTGACATCTCGCAGGCCCAGTTTGTCTTTGCGTCGTTTTACTCTATTCTGTTGACAAAACACATAGCTTCTATTACAATAGAAGCTAATTTCATTCAATTGTTGAATTAAACAACAGAGTCTGAATTATTTTAACATTCTCGGATATTTTCGGAAACAGTGTGAGAGAGAGAGAGAGAGAGGGGGGGGGAGATATAAATTATTGCAAATCTATGCTTACCTTGTTGTAACCGAATTCTAAAGCTTCGATTTTTTTATATGGTTCGTGACATATCATTTGATTTTCTCCAGTAGCTTTCATATTTTGTACAACGTAAGTGCCGCCGAATCGTGAATGTCTAATTAATCAAAGGAAAATAGAAATTTCAGAGAATAAACTTATTCGTGAAGTGGAATTTATTCTTGAATTTCTCAAGAATGCGTAAATGTAGGGTATCTTAAAATACGATACAAAATAGATCGGGAGAACGATACGCCCACGTTTTGAGGAAAGATTGAATTTCTTGTTTAGTTTTCACATCTCCCTTTCATCTCATCTCTACGCACAAATTGAGAAGCGAAAATAACGTGTTCCGTCGCTACTAAAAAGAGAACTGATCATTCAAATTCAATTTCACCCACGAGTCCCGAAGATCCAATCAATGGAATAGAAGGCAGCTGTCAACGGCAGATAGTTTTCTAAATGACGAAGACGCGCATCTTATTCACTTTCTCCCATTTTATTTCTTGCGAAAAAAAAACTCGGTTCCATTATCCCTTCTTAAAATATTTTTAAACAAATAGCCTTTAAACAAATAACTTGTCAAAGCGTAGGGGCATTACAAATAAAATTTAATAGCGGGCGATAATCTTTATTTATATTTATCGATATCTGACAATTACTTATTTGGAAACATTATGACTTTTAAAGGTAGCAATAAACCTGCGGAATTCTTCATAATTCCTATACAAAAGCGTGGTAGCAATAAATGGAAATAAATAAAATAATAAAAATGATGGTGCGAGCATGTACACAGCGCGGCTATCCAATTTTGTTCCTATGTTTACTATTGCTATCAAAAAGAGATCTGTGCTCGTGACACAGCTAGGCGCTGCTTTATCGTTTTCCGATCAAATTATCTTTCCGTCGATCGATAGAGAACACGTGGAAGGCGGAGGGATCTTTTCACCGCACATCCAGTCTCTTTCAACTCGTAAAAAGCCTTTCGCAAAGACGTGGATGCTCGCATCCATGGGCTTCTGGAACGCGCTCGTTACAAGAATACGGCTCGCTTCTCTCCAACAAGTGGATAAAAGCGTCTATTCATACTTTGGGTGGTCCTACCTTAAAAACTAGGTCATATTCATTATACGCATATCACATCGCGAACACCGCAGTAACTCCCAAAGGCATCCGTCAAGTAGCAATCGGCGCCTTTTAGTCATCCCATTTTTACGATCACGGGCTTTTAGCCGTGGCCGCTCATTAAAGTGGTAATTACGCGGTAGCTATCTGCATTAAATGCATTCTCTCGTGTATTGGGGTAAAAACGTATGGATAATACAACTAACATATGAATAAAACTTAATAAAGCTCATAGATATGCTACTTTCGTCATATCGCGTAAGTCGGTCAATTAAATGCATATCTAAAGAGATTTGAATTCGGGAACTATTCATTTCGAGTCCTATTTTATATTCTACAGAGATACTGTCTTAAATTAGTTGGAAACACTAGTTTGGGAAACATGCAACATCTTCCTCTTCTCTCGACCTTTCTTTATTTTATATGTAGGCATTTATATTAAATGTCAAATAAATGAATGCTTTTGTATTATATTTGTATAGATACATACGTATTATATATACGTAATTTTATTAATGAGTTAATCAACTTTCTTATTGACAAATAATAATATATGTAAACTCACCTAGATCCAGCGTATTTTCTTACTTTATCCCTCTTTTCGCGTAGCTCTTTTTGTCGCAACTCTACGAGTTTAGCTTCGTCATTTTCTCTTTCAGCAGTACTACGTTGCAAGCCAGATGCCGCTAACAAACTCGCATTTTGCTCACGTAACATTAAAGATATAATCTAGCCGAGTATAAAAATAACACTGTTATTTAGTAACAAGTTAACAGGTAACAAATAAGCTTTTAACAACAGTACTATTTTCATATAAGTCTATAAAGTCTAAATGTATAAAATTACATAAATTGATATAACTAGTATATACCTCTAAGATTTGTATATGATATTGTTGTTCCTGTTTGTTACTGACAATAAACAATAGAATATCTACTATGCCTGATGCATGTAATGCAAATAATATCTACAAAAAAAAATTATCTATGTCACAAAAACAAAACAAAACAATGCTTAATACATGTTAGAAAATTAAAAAAAAATTGATCTCAAGAAAAGATGGTTCGAATACAAATAACAAAATAATGGAATTTTAAAAATAATGAGAATTGTTATCTCCAACTCTAGCGAATTAATGAGCCAGTTTATACCCTGGATATTTTAATTTAAATTCTTAAAAAAAAAAAAAAAACAAGATTCTTTTTTATGTATTATCCTATCTTAATGTTAACGTAATGATTAACCTCATCATGAATAGTAGCATCGTTATCAGTTCTTTTATCATTGTCATTAGGTGGCACTTGCAGTACATTTCTAATAAAAACAAGAATTCTTTCAATCGTTAACTCATCTTCTTCTCCTCTTTCCGTACTATCCTAAAATAAAAATTGTAGCTAATATACTACTTATATCACAGAACATATAGAATCTCTTCACTTACAACATTAAGTAAATTTCCCAAACGACCAGCTATCGCTAACCAAACATTTTCATCAGTTAACGCTGCCTTATAGTCTTGTAAATACACAACAAGTTGTTGATAAAAACTATATGTTATTTTGTCAGTTGGTATCCGTTCATCGTAAATTACAAACGCGGAGCTTGTCAAATTAATAAGTAATCTGTTAAAAAAAAAGAATAAAAATAAAAAACGTAGTTAAACATCTCAATGTAAACAAACATCGACTTCTTAAACATGTGTCATATGTTCCATATGTCCAAGATAACTTTTATAAGGAAAAAGGATAGGATGACGAAATGGACAAAATGAAACGAATTATTAATTTTTCTAAGCTAACAAATGAGAATTTAATTCATTAACTTTTAATTTTTAAAACTAATAGATAATTCCTTGTACTTTTGATTTTAATCGATGAAAATGATAACATATAAGGATAAGATAACGAAATTAACATATTCATAAAAAACATAATTTTACAAAAATTTTAATTTATCAAAATTTCAATTTTTACAGATTATAACTAAAGTTTTAATAAATAGTTTTAATAAAGTTTTAATAAATTTGAAAAAAAATAGATCATTATTTTTACATTATAACAGAAATTAAAAAAAAATCATCAAATATCACAGTTATCACTTTTCTCATCTCCCTTTTCTCTATATTATACATACCGCAACAAAACATCCCAAAGTTCAGTATTCTTAACATGATGTATAAGAATCTTTACAAGATCTGTTTTAAGTAATCCTGTTTGCCCAAGAAAGCGTCTTATAGTATGTGTATCATCATCTCTTTTAAGATATCTGATAAGATCTTTTATGACATCTGTTAAGAAATTGATTGTATTATTAAATTGATTGTATTGTTAGTCTAATGTTTCTGGAATATTATTTCAGACTAATACCCAAGATAAATATATTCTTTACCTAAACAATTTTTATCTAAATGATAGTCAGTTCCATCAAAGTACCCAATCGCAGCGCAAGTAGCAGTGAGTTCAGCCGAAAGATAATCTGTCATATTTGCCATATTTGAGCAATTTGAGACCTATGAAATTTTTACTATATAACATTCATACCTCAGACCATCAATAATTATTGTACGCGAAACTATAATAACTGACTGAGTGACAACTTGTATTAATTTCTTCAATGGCTATTAATAATAATAATAAAGTCCACTAAATATTCGTAAATAATAAACTTTCATTTAGCCTTGAGTAAGTAATTAAAATTGGAAAGTAATGCAAAAATCATTACTAATCCATTTTTAAACATATTTCTGTTTTACAAAAATTACTCTATAGAAAACATCAAGCCAAGAATGTTTTTTTTAAATTTATTTTTTTTAAATTTTTTTTTCCGACTCTCCGATCAAGAAATCAGTTTAACAATAATAATTAACGATAATAATTATTAGTTTATCATACCTCGTGAACTGTCCAGTGCCGGCGACGGTGTTATTTTACATCCAATTCTAGGTTATGTCACACATGGGATAAAGTACGAGCACATAAAGAAAACACCTCGCATTTAGAACAACGAAATATATATTTACTTGAAACACTGACACAAAACACGTCACAAAACGCATCAAACTGTCATTGTATTTCGCGTTTCTTCGAGAAACTCGAAACTATGGCACGCGGCACGCGTACGTCGAACGCAACAGGTGAGAAAAACGCGGGAAACTATGCTAACCTTACTCGACCACATGACCGGACACGTGATCGATCTTGTCCCGTTCTTTTCGTCAATTTAAAATCGAGTGGATCGCGACGTTTGCGCGACATCGAATGATTTTTGCGAGATAAATTATTATTTATCTTGTTCGAAAAACCGAAAAGAAATATAACTTCATATTCTCGCTCGAATCTCATGTCGTTCATTCTAAATTTTTTATGTCATTCTCATCTGATTCATAATGAGATTTAAATTTGATCGTACGTGAATAATACAGATGAATAATATGGGCCTTAGATTTTTTTCAGTTTGAGTATATATTATTCGTTATATAAATTACAATCGTTTTTTATTTTCATTTTTCTATTTTTATCCAATATTTTTAATTTGTCATTCAACTTTTTAAAATTCTATCCGTGACATGTAATCGAATTTTCTTATTTTAAATCGAAAATTAATCACGCGTGTTGCGAAAAAACGCAATATTATCAATAAAATAACTTTAAAAATTGTTATCACAAACTTATTATTTTATTAATGTTTGAATGGCCCTCGCGATCGATACAATTTTATCGTCATGATTAATGTGCGCGTGGAAAAATTGAGCAAAACATTTTTGCGAGCATTAATAATTAGCCGATAAATGAAGGAATATGTCTCCTTCCTATCATCTCTGGCTGTATATGATCAGAATTCATAGCTATGCAGTCGACGATGGAAAAACGTGGTCAGGAACAACGAAAAGTAGGTTCAACCTAGTCTGAAGAATTCCTAAAAGATTAATTAATAATATACTATCAATAATATCAAAATAGTAAAAACGTAAATAATTGATTTTTATACATACGTGCAATTACACATAATTATGGAGAGAAATTATAAAATATTATCTATGTCTTTGAACATGGATTTCTAAATGTTAAATTCCTTTCTTGAATATATTTCCCATTTAATGATCGCGGGTTAGGAATCTCGCTGGGATTAGCCAGCCCAAAATAGGAATTCGGTTAGGTAGGAAGACTATGAAAAAATTTAATAAACTTAGGTAAATATATTGTTAAAATTCACAAATAGATAGCAACGTTAAATAAAAATTCGGGTGGGAAAAAATTGAAGCAATAGGAAAATGTTATAATTTAAAAATTAAAAATATATGATCTAATATCATCTATGAAATCTATGACAAATCCATAGTTAGGTAGAAGAGGTAGAGATTAAAACATTCGGATAGATAGGGAAAATTGTAATTGAGAATTAAAAGTTAAATCTGTTCAAAGTTATAAAATGTTAATTATAAAAAGAACAAAAATGTAAATAAATAGCATTATTCCTATTAACATAATAAGATTCAAAAATATGTTAACAAGATTCCTGATATAATTTGAGTCCAAAGAACCAAACTTAATTTAAAATATTTTGAAATTTTTATATTATATGATTTTTAAGGTTTTAAATTAATTAAAGTAGTTTCAATCTTTATAATTGTGTTATATATTTTTATTTTACTGCTAATAACATCAAGCTATAACTACTTTCGTAACGTAGTTTTGATTTAGATTTCGATAAATATTAATATTGAAAATATACAAATATTCAAATTTCGGGAAAGTTATTTCGATTTCTGAGACAAATCATACTTTTTCTTCTATTAAAAAGACATAGCGAAGTGTCTGTTGCAAAATATGTTTGTGAAAAGGTTGTCCGATCACGCCGCGTTCACAACGCGAGGGTCGTCAGTCCGGGGACGTTATCCATTATATCGTCGTAATACGAAGCAGCGCTTTCGACGAGCAATCTGCTGATAGACGTCGTCCGCAAAGGAGGAAAATAAAGCCATAAATCCAATTTTGTCGCGCGGGAGACGGGAGACGGGAAGGGATGTCGCAGGACAGACAGATGGACGGGCAGTCGAGCGAGGTCGGGTAAGTACAAGAGATACAAGATCGAGTGATACAGAGATCGAGGGATGGACGACGGTCAGAAAATGGCGGGAAGACGGAAGGGAAAGGGCGGGAGAAGGGCGAGGTGTGCCGAGACGTTTGACGGTCGCGGCGGTCTGCACGGACATTCGATGGCTAATCGATATCATCGAAGGTATCCGGGTCATCGGGTTATCGGCCAGTCGTCTGCACCTGTCCGCTTATTTCGTCAGCGCCGTGTCAGTGTTCTATGACAGCACGCTCTATACGTTTTGCGCTTTGTGACGCGCACGCGACGGTTTTTGCGCCCGAAACGCCCGGAAAATTGCCGGAGCGCAGTCGGGTCGGGTTGCTCTTTTCGAATCGATTCGCGTACGCGAATACGCGCGCTGCACGATTTGATATTTTTTTCCTCCACGGCAGTGAGGAAGAGAAAGGGGAGGCGATATCTAATTCACGCGGAATAGCTGACATAGAGAAATCGATACGAGAACCGTTGCGAATGAGTTATACGGAACGTTATTTAACGATGCGCGCGATGCGAATTTTGCATTTCAATATGCGTAAGAAAATCGGAACTGCGATTGCTTCGCTTTTGATTGAATACCATCTGTGCTCGCAATTATGTACATGCAATGAGAATTATTTATTTGCAAAAACCGTGACTGTTACATTATTAAATTAATTAAATCGAAAGTTAAATAATATTGAGATTCGTATTAATTATTTGCTTGTATTCTCCATTTCTCTCTCTCTCTCTCTCTCTCTCTCTCTCTCACTCTTTTTTTGTTTCTCTTTTAATTTCTCTTGAGCTGGAAGAGTCCAAAAATTAACAAAATATATCGTTGAACCAGCGAGAGAATAAATATAAATGTGATGTGATTTTACGAAATAAATAATCAGCTCTTTGAAGTTGGAGAAATACAATCGGGAATAACCGACATGTTTTGCGGCTTGTTGTGTAAACAGGAATGTTTGGTCACAAGCCCGTTCGATTTTTGATGTAGTTATATTAACATTCGGGAAATTCAAAAATTTCAAGTCGAATATATTTATCGCGAAAATTACGACGGCAGACAAACCGCTTTTATGCGATACGCTAATGAGCAATAATGGCAATAGCGTGGCAGTATATGTGAATGAAACGCAAAATCGAGCCATTTATTGTTTGTCTGGAGCATTGTTTCAACGGTAAATACAATTTCTATTTCATCTGTAGCGAATGATTTCTCATTAGAGACGAAACAACGGAACGTTGGAATATAGATGTTTCGATTGTATCGATCTAAATTTAACCAAACATCAAAGTAACGCTAAAATGCATCGAAAATATTTCGAAGTAATTTATATCGAATATTGTATTTCTTTGTAAAGATTGTATTTCTGAAAAAAATTTGATATGAATCTTGTATTATCATTAAAAATCCAAATGTAATGTTTCGTCGATATTATTCGTATAGCAGAAATCCACACATTATTCAATCGTTATACTAAATAAAATGGGAAATGTATGTTAATAATAATGAAATAATTAATTTAAAACTAAATTTAATTAAAACACTTTCTTTTGTAATAATTATTTATAGTGCACTACTAGAGAGAAACTATTTTCGAGAACTTCCCTTTTACGAATATTTTCACGAAAATTATTCTCGATTTTTCATGAAAAATGTATAACGCGAAAATTTCGCAAAGGGATGGCTTTTTCACGGACACCGCCGCGTAGCAATAATAATTCGTCGTGTGCTGGTACCAGCAATTGTGAAATTGCTGGTGATTTATACTACCGCCTATATTATAAAACATGGTACGGCTATAGTAATTAAATAAAATCGCAAAATAAATTATATTTTCTGCAATCGCGTACGCATACAGTATACACACGTATTGGCTGCCGCGAGACGAGAATATTTCTCTTTCGATAGTTAGGAATTTCATATTTTTCCGTAAAAATTTTTTATTCAATAAATATTATTTTAATTTAGACATATCGTTTTAACAAACAAGACGAGTCTCGCCTAGACAACAGATAGGAATTTTTCAATCTTTCTAAAGCGAAACGAGATATAGAAAATGAAATATACGCGCAATCTTCTCCGGAAAAGAAGAATATCTCAGAGCGCTTCAAGGTTAACGTATACGACATATACGGAGTACAGCTTGTTGCATCATGGATTCAATTAGAACAGACTGACGGCGAGAGATTAATGCAAAATTAATCGGACATCCCTGTGCCCTCTTTAGACGGGCATAACGGGCACGTAGTTTTGCTTCTAATTTACGGCAAATTCCACGGGTTACTTCGTACTTTGATACGGAAAACTGTAAGTCTGTCGGACTCACAAAGTTGGCAGCTAAATGTCGTGTGCATAATCTACTTGTTAACTAGTTAATTCAGTTAAGTTTTGTAAGTTCCGCCGCGCGTAAACATAACTGTCTGGCGGACGAGGCGAGTTGGGAGCGGCAAATTTAGTCAAGCCGAAATAAAGCGATTGCGTTCCACGCTATAAATTACGATCTCGGATCTCCTTGCGATTTCCTAGAAGGCAAACTCGAGAGTTGTTTGTTGCGCCGGCCGTCTTTAAAACAGCTCTTGACTCAATGGGTCACTCCGCGAAAATCCAACGAAACGGCATTTACCTTCTTGTGCAAAGTATTAATTATTTCTCGTTGAATTTCAACAGAAATATTACCCTACTCTTATGTCTTTACAGTGTCTCTTACAGAGAGGAAGAAAGAGAAAGAGAAAGAGAAAAGGAAAGAAAAGAGAGAAATAGAGAATTACGTTCCATGTTATCATTCCATGTTATCATTATATTTTAAATATATTATATTACTTCATCGTCAAACGCAATTTTTAAATATAATAATTTTATGTATAATAATGACTAATGACCGTCTTTACATAAAACTTAAATATTTATTGAAAGGCTACGAAGTGAACAAGAGTGAACAAGAGTGTTAACTAGAAGTAATAGGATATTTATTTATAAAAATTAATCCTTTTCTCTAAATGAAGAATGAAAGTATAAAGATTGTTTATTGCCGATTATTGCTAAATTTTGTTATTATTTAAGTTACGTTATACAAAGATACAAATTTATGATGAGAAATACAGTCTATTGCACTCAATGAATAATTCGGAAATTTGTACGGCGAAAAGATTTATCTGCCTACCGATCGTGCGATTTGAAGCTACCCGACTCTTATACCATGCTAATAGGACTTTCAATTAACGTTTCCAATTATTAATGAGACTTTTAATTAAAGGGATTTATCCCCGCAGAAATCGGCTTAAAAGCGGCCGCGCACGCGGATCAAATCGTCGCGGACAAACGGATTAAGCAATAGAAATTAAACTCTTGATAATTCGATTTTTCTACTTTCTACGCGAAGCAGAAAAATCGTTC